CAGAGCACTTCTCTTCAGTGTCCACACTAACTACATAGTGATCTCATCAAGCCTCATGGCTGTAAGTACCACCTTGCCTTCATGACTCTCACATGTATTTCCCTAGCTTGGACCTCTCGCCTGAATTCCAAGGTCATATATCCAGCTCCGCATGAATTCCACATAAGCATTTCAAACTTACTTTCTCCAACTCAGCTCTTCATCCCCACCCCACTTCCCCATACCAACTCTCTTCTTCTCCAGGACTCTTCCTTTTAGTAAATGGACCTTCTATCTACCCACTGCCTCAAGCCCAAAACCTTGAAACCATTCATGAGTCCCCCTCTTTCCTTCATATTCCATATCCAGTCCCTCAACAAGTCCATTCTGTTCTACCTTCAAACTGTACCCCATATTCAACCATGTTGCATCATAACTACAGCAGGCCAAGACAAAATGAATTCTCCCCGGGATAGTTGCAAGAGTCTCCAACTGGTCTCCGGGCTTCCATCTTGCCCTCCTCTAATCTGTTTTCCACAGAGAAGCCAGAGGAACACTTTTAAAATTCTCTACTTAAAACCATCACCCTTAGGATAAATTCTAAGGCCCTTGCCATTGGTCTGCAAGGCCTGGCATGAAACTAACCCTTGACTTCTCTGCCCCTTTTATCCCTCAACCTTCTGCCCCAAGCACACTGACCTCTTGGTATTCCTCAAACACACCCACCCCTTGTCATTGCCTTTGTCTGTGGTTTACCCCACTACCCAGAATGCTCTTCTCCAAAGTAGCTCATGCCCTCACCTCTCATGTGTCCTTGCTCCAATGTCACCAGTCAGAGAAGCCTTCCTCATCACCTTTTTTTTTAAAAGATTTTATTTATTTATTTGATAGAGATCACAGGTAGGCAGAGGCAGGCAGAGAGAGAGGAAGGGAAGCAGTCTCCCTGCTGAGCAGAGAGCCCAACGCAGGGCTCGATCCCAGGACCCTGGGGTCATCATGACCTGAGCTGAAGGCAGAGGCTTAACCCACTGAGCCACCCAGGTGCCCCTCCTCATCACCTTTTAAAGCCTGGTTCCACTTTTATTTACTTAATGCCTCTTATCCTTAGCCAAACTTATATTATATACATCTTTGATTATTTATTTACTTTCTATCTCCACCCACGAGGCCTTAAAACCTTAAGGGGAAGGATTTTACTTTTTTCCACTGCTATAGCCTCAAAGCCAAGGCCAGTGCCTGGCTCATAGTGTGACATAATAAATATTTATTGAGTGAATTATTGAATGAGTGAATGATCGCTTACTCATTAGATCACTAGGATGATTACATGAATTAAAATATATAGAGCAATTTCTAGCACATGGCAAAATACTTGAGAACATATGTTTCTTTTCCCATTATTATTATTATTATTATTATTATTATTATTTAAAAATGGAGCTGGGCTCTGGCAGTGTTTCCACAGCTAATCATTTTGTGACATCTGCTATTATCAAGGTTTGCTTCTATTTCTGTATTTTATATGTTCCCATCTGGCCTCGACTCTTCGAGGAATAATTTGAGAAAACGTGTTCCTTTGAGCTCACTGCTCAGACTTTAACTTGTAGGCATTTCTTTTAAGCTATCCACTTGAATAAGAAATGTCACATTGGCTCCCAAGGCAAATTCTCCAGCTCTATAGGCAGGGAGGCTCTGAAAGTCTGAAAGTTTCCAGCTACATCCCACAGGACAAGGAAAATGCTACAGGTGTCTTGGCATCTTGCTAAACTTCCAGGGAACACTGAATACCATATACGGAAAGTTCTGAAGTCAGAAATAAAGCACATGAGCACAGGAAGGAGACCAGACTGGACGTACAAAGAGAGCACCCCATGACCTTCCCGGCATAGCAACAGGGTCCATAGAGTGTGAGAGAAGCCTTAAAGGGGAGTCTGCTGCTCCCCTTTGTTAAACGGGCACACTCTTTTATTTCTAAGAAATTTGCAATCTGTAAAACAAGGGAAATAGCTCCCCCAAAATCAGATTTGCTTTCTCACTGCACATCCTTTCCCACTCTCACTGTCCACCAAAAGTAGTTCTATCCCCCTCAGGGGTGAGGGGCAAGCTCTCCTCCGTTCCCTTTCCATCACCAGTCAATCACTGTCAGTGCGAAGAGTGTAGGCTTAAAGAAAGGTCAATTTAATTCTGATCCCTGGGCTTGACTCACATGAGCTGTGTGACTTTGGGCAAGTCCCTTAACCTCCCTCAGCCATTTCTCCAGGAGTAAAAACAACAGTGTCTTCGCTGGATGGTTGGGAAGATGAACAAGGGTCACCTGGGGATGAACCTGCTATTAGTAAAATCAGGATAGGTGCTTTTTCTTTGTTCTGCTTCTGAGACAAGGGGAGGCAGTTTATTGAACCATCTAAACTTCATGGTAAGCAATAGGCAGGACTTCATTTTTCTATATGATGATATTTGCTCAGATAAATCACCCTCTCCCTGGGTTGCACAACCCACGACAAAATCTTAGGACATTCCTTAATTTCCTGGTCACTTTATTAAAATCTGTCCACAATAAAACTCTAGTCTTATCTATTTAAACCTTCCCCTGCCTCCAGCACCAGCGCAGGTAATAGCCTGAAGGACAGGAAGTGAGGAAGTTCTATTCTCCTTTCTGGCTTTCTGGCCCTCATGCTGGTGTGGGTCCATCTCAGTGAGTGCTGTTTCATGCCCCCTCTCACTTAGCTTTGCTGGAGATGGAGGGTCCCCTTCATAATAAATGCGGGGCCCCTAAGGATGCATGACCCTGCTCCCCTATATCCATCAGGATAGGCTAGGTTATGGTACAGTGACAAACAGCTCCAAAATAACTCATGAGCACCTCCTTCTCTTCCTTCTTCAGTGTCTGCAGAGCCTCTGGTGATTTTGGGCTGTAGGGCAAAGGGAAAGAGACAGGCTTCTTGGCCAACCCATTGTTTCTGACTTTTAATGTAGGGTGTTATTGCTCCTCTGGCCAGCCCTTTCTGGGCTAATGATGCTTCATCGCTGGCTAAGTGGACCTCCTCTAATAGGGCCTGCAAGTCCTTCTCCCCAGACAGTTCCCTGAAGTGGGGAGCTGCCTTCATACAGCCACAGCCAACCTCACGTGGGCAAAGAAGTAAAATCCCAGCCCATGGCAGGAAGGTGAGAAGAACCAATGTATTGCTGTGTACATACAATAGATACCCAACTTAATGGTTTCAAACACCAGTCATCTCTTCAGTTGATGGTTCTGGGAGCTGACAATTTGGATGGGACTCCACTTGATAGTTCTTCTGGTCTCATCTAGATGCTTTCATTTCTGGCAGGGAAACAGGGTGGCTCTGCTTCACTGGTCTCGCACCCATAAAGGGAGGTGACTGGACTGGGGGTGTGTCTCCCATCATCTTTTGGGCAACATTGGGTTGGTTCCTGTGGCAGTTTGGCAAGTTTCCAAGAGGGAGGATAGAGCATGCAAGGCATGTTGAGGGCAGGCTTGGAACCGGCTTAAATTTTATTGCTCAAATACCCTAAACCCACGAGCTCCAAGGAGTGCAGAAACATGCTACCTTTGGTGGGTGGGGCTGTGAAGTCACATTGCAAAGGTGAATAGGGAAGGGTAATGGAAGAAAATTGTAGCATTTTTGCAGTCTGCCCCAAGCACGAAAGACCACAGCTTCCTGATCTTCTGAGGAACAGGTTGGAGGGTTGATGCAGAAGTGATGTGGCTCGACAAGGCAAGATCAGCTCGTCTTGTGTGTCTTGGAGAAGTGTTCGACTACTCTCGATTGGGGCCTTTATTAGACTCGTTTGCTTGGCCCCTTTTTGTTTGCAGCTTTGGGTCAAAGACATTAATTCTAGACAACGGGCAGAGTCCCCATGGATATTCAGTTACAAAAGGAAACTACTTTGAGGTAAAGTGACCTTTTGCAGGTCATGAAGCCACTAAGTGCTTTATTCCTTTATCTGGGCAGAGGGAGAAGTATGCACAAAAGGTGGGCAATGAGAAAGCATAGTAAATACCACAGACTTTCAAAGAACCACTGTGGCTGGCATGGATAGAGCAAGGTGTGGTTTGCTACAAGGTGTCATGGGGACCCAGAAGCCGCCAGTCCCTGGAGCCCATGACAAGGAGCTTTTCTTTAGATTTAAGAACAAAGGAAACCTCGTGAAAAATTTAGACAGCAGGTTCACCAGCTCACATCCGTATTTCCAAAAGATCCTTCTATCTCCAGTAGGAAGGTTGGATTGGCAGTGCAGACTGGACCAAACCCGGGCCTTTCAGTATTTAGTAGTTTTCCAAGCCCATGTTTTAATTCTCCCTAAGTTCCAAGGCAAAGGAGAATAGGATCCAGTTTGCCATGACCAACAACAAGAGGCAAGGCAAGGAGAAGAGCAGAGAAAGTCCAAAACCCCACACTGTGTCCTCCACGAACATACACACACACACACACACACACACACACACACACACACACTACTCATCCATGGGCCTCAGACCCAAGTAGGCTTGAGAGTTTCTGGCTCCCATTGTGTGGATAGTTCACCCAGATGGATTCGAGTCAGACAGTGGCCTCTTCCACTTTGCCATGTATAGGGACAAGTGACTGCTAAGTGACCATCAGAGAGAAAGATCAGCAGAGGCCCTGGCCTGGCAGATGCAACCATTGAGCCCAGAAGGTCGTATACTTCATATTTCCAGTTATTCCAATTCAGAAGGCAAATGGTGTCGAAAGTTCAGTGTCATGGGCCATTTTGATAGCACATTGGTAGGATCTCAAGGAGGCAGGGAGGAGGAGCAGGGCCAGAAGCAGAAGCACCTTGGAGCCTCTTTGCACAGTCTGGCTCAGCACGGGGTGGAGAAGGGGCTGCCAGATACCCCCTAGGCACAGGAACATCGGGGAACCTCCTTGGGGCGGAGGGTATCAGTGGAAAGAGGGCAGTACCTGGAGCAGACCTCACCCCCACAGCATGAGTCTGCATGACTGATCCTAAGAGAGTGTTCTGTCATTGTATTGCAGCTCCAGAAACTAAAACGATCACTTTCTTTCAAGACCAAGAGTTTACGGAGCAAAAGTGCTGACAACTTCTTCCAGCGAACCAACAGCGACGTGAAGCTGCAGGCTGACATGCTGGCTGAGGTCAGCCCCAGCTCCAGCCCACTCCCCGCCTCTGGAAGCCTGACGTCCACACCCACCAGGGCCAGCCTGCAGCCAGGGGCTGGTGGCAAGGCCCACGCCTTTCAGGAGCACATCTTCAAGAAGCCCACTTTCTGTGATGTCTGCAACCACATGATCGTGGGTAAGACCTCCCCCACCCCCACATCCAGGGTCCCTGCCCCCCTGGAAGGGCAAGTGAGAGTGGTATATTCTGGGTGGTATATTCCAGGACATATTCTGAGCCTCAGAGATGTACATGAGAGCAGGTTGTTTGGGAATGTTCTGGAGAACAATAGTTGTGCACAGGGAAGGGAAGTAGGACTGGGCAGAGAGAGAAGTTGGATGGTGATACAGTGGAACTTCAGCCGTTCCCTCAGGGAGCCCTGGACAGTCAACTGCACTGAGGCTAGTGGCCTGGGACTTTGTACCACTGTATCACCTCTCGCTGTGGCTGGGCAGCCCCTGGGGACAGGACATAATCTGGACAAAGCAGTTCTTTTCAGCGAAGGACAGTGGGCAGAGAGGAAATCAATCGGAGGCAACCAGGATGCTGGGCAGGTGGGCATGGAATGCTTCGATACATCAGGGGGACCAGAGGGACACATCCCAGAATCCACCATGGGGCACGTGGCGCTGTCTGTCTGGGGCAGCCCGGGCAGGGAGTCTGTAGCTGGGTGCATTACAGGGGAAGGACCCAGACGGGCAGGTGTGGGAAGGATGATTCTGTGGGGAGGCACTGAACCAGGCAGGAAAGGTGATTGAGCCACCATTCCATACAAGTCTGGACCTGGCATGGACTCACTCACAGTACCTCAAAGAAATGGGGGCAGCCTGAGAGTCTTAGGGGTTGTGCCCAGATGAAGGAAATGATCCATGACATGTCCCAGCCACAAGGAAAAGGTAGGCCGTTCAAAACCACATGCACAGAAATGCCACCGTTCCTACATTTCTGCCTCTCCTATGTCAGGAACCCAGGGACCAAACAGATGGAGGAAATCATAAAGGCAGTTTGGGGTTGGGGGGTGGGGCGGGACTCAGAGTGAGTTTAAACCAGTTGTTTCAAGAGCAGCTGTCAATCCTGGTAATTGACTAGTGGCCACAGAACACAGACAGGCCTGTGTGTGCTATCAGGGGACAGTGAGGGTGTTACCCAACCCCACAACCCACCCCCAGTAGAAGTTAAAGGGCATCACGAACGGAAATGAGGCCGAAAAATGAAAAATGCAGGGCTGATCCAGATCCAGATGTGGACTGTCTTCCCACAATGGTGCTGACTCACCAGATGTGTAGCCAATCGAATTCCTGTAGCACCTGGAAGCACCCTGAGGCCTTCCCCATCCCCTTGCAGCCCAGATGCCTCAGGGTTGGGTTTTGACATGAATGCTTTAGGGAAGGAACTTTTGTGATCAAGTTGGCCCCAGGGCCCAGTGAGGACCCAGGCAAAAGCCAATAAGCTCTGCAGTCTCATGTTCCAGCTCTTCTACCCTGACACACACCTCCCAGCCCCACCCCTTCCCAGGACCAGGACCAGCTTCCTAGAGCCTGGCATCTCTTCGAGGCTAACTGTGTCTCAGGCCAGATTCTCTAGAAGCAGAGTTTGAGAGGGGAGTTAGATACCCTGTGATCAGTTGAGGGGGCTGAATAAGAAAGTGGCCCTAGTAGGGGTCTCACTTCAGCCAGCTCTGGAGGGAGCTCTGCCATGGGTCACAGAGCTGGTCCTTCCTTGAGGCAAGCCTTTTGTTGTCTGCTTTCAGTGGGCCTCCCTCCTCCTCCCACGATGGAGGCCCTTTCAGAACTCCCTGGGCCAAGTGGCTCATGTTCTGCTGAAGGCAATTTTCTGGAGAAGGAGGGTAGCTGTGAGTCATCAGCAACCAGCACACAAGCCTCTGGTATATTAGGGGCTTTTTGCTACTGTGAGAGAATATCACAAACTTAGTGGGTTAAAACAACACAGATGCATTATCTTATAGTTCTGGATGTTGAAAGTCCACAGTGGGTCTCACTGGGCTAAAATCAGGGCTTCAGGAGCTCCATTCCTTTCTGGAGGCTCTAGGGGAGAATATATGTTCTTTCCTCCTCCAGCTTCTACAGACGCCCCCCCCACCTTGGCTTGTGGCCCCTTCCGTGTTCATAGAAAGTTATAATGACAGGTTGCATCTCTCTCACACAGCCATCTCACTGGTCCTGACTCTCCCTCTTGTGCCCACTGGGATACTCTTTCCATCTCAAGGCCTCCTGATTAGCCACCTTACTCCCTTCTGCATCCTTGACTTCCCCTTGCCTTGTAACATAACATGTTCTTCAGGTCTGGAGATTAGGAGGTGGACACCTATGGGGAGCCATTCCTCTGCCTGTGCCCACCCCATAGGAGTATCTGGGCAGAGTATCAACAGTGTCCAACACAACAGCGGAAGAAAACTGTGGTTGAAGATCACAAGTCTGGCCTCTGTTGATTCCTCTCCATCCTGGCTTTGGTACCAGTCATGTGATTGTTGCACAGCTGATGGCTCTGTCATGTGACGTGGTGAGAGGTATTTTCATTCAGCGTAGGCAAAAAGGCACCTTTCTGTTCAGTGCACAGCGTGAGGACAATGCTGACCCATGTTTTGCTTATGGCTATTACCATGGCATCATTAGCCTTTTGCTTTCCAGATAAAATGATGAAAGAGAGTGAGGGTAGGAGAAAGATCAGGTGCATGGAATCAGGCTGGATTTGAACCCCATGCAGCTGTGTGACCGAGTGCCAGTAACTCACCTTCTCTGAGCCTGTGTCCTCATTTTATGTGGAGAAGATAATACCACCCTCAGGGGGTTTGAATGGTTTAGTGAACTGGCAGAGGGGAAGTACCAGGCATCAGAAGGCTCTCAGTAAAGGGGGCCCATCGGAGTTGGTATTATCATTATCATTATTAGAGGAGAAAATAGTCATTGCTGTTCTGAAGCAGAGAAGCATACTCAGAGGATAGACCAAATTAGCTTTACAGAAAAAGAAGTTAAACTTAATAGGCATAAATAATTGAAGTAAATAACGTCCAGCTAACAAGAAGTAATTAGTCCCTCATGTATGTGGCAATGTTTTAGGGACATGTCAAGGATTGTCTATCATTCTGCATTTCATATTTTATGAGGGGTATGGACAAGCAGGTGGGTGTCTGGAAGAGAGTGATCAGAGTGGTGAGTGGTGTGTCAAAATAAAATCATGAGGAAACTCTGGGAGTTTGGTGTGTAAAAGATTTAGGATGTGCAGCTGTGTTTGAAAGTACCATGTTGGAAGTCAAGAGACTCATGCAATGTGGCTTTAGAAGGGAGGGTTGGGAACAACGGGTAGAGTTAAAAGGCAAACTTCAGTGGGAATGTAACCATTTAACCCATGCACTTGACCTGTGAATAGTGCGTGGTTTAACTTCTGTCAAGCAGAGGTCATCTGAAGGTCATTTCTTACTTAATTATCTGATAGTCTTCGAAATGTTCGTGCTTCCCAAAGAAGCCAACGTCTCTCATCACTGAACTTGGACGTATCAGTGATTTCCAGTATGACCAGGAAGGCGGGATTCTGCTGTCCCCTTCATTCTTGGCTGAGACCCAGTTAAGGGTGGGATGTTCAAACAGGGGAGCAATGTCTGCCCCTCTGGCGATCATGGACACAAGGACTGTCTTCGTCATCATCTTCAGAAAACTGTATTCTACTCACACTCTCACTTTCCAGTCATTGTCATTCATGTCCTTCCTGTGACCAAACCTCATTTCAGAGCTGTGTTTGTGTCGCTCTGTGATTCTTCAGTTTTGCTGAGTAATGAGTGCTCTGGAGCCCTAGCTTTCTTGGACTCTTCCTCGGGCTTCTTTGGAACCGCTGGGGTTGGGCTTCTCTTGCGTGTTCTCCTTCTCGTCTCTTACCCTTTCCTCAGACAAGTGGGCCAGCTGGGGTGTGTTCTTCCCATAGCAAGGACAAGGGGAAGCACATAGAGCTGCTTAAGGCCTCAGCTTCCTGGAGGAGGCAGGGCATCCCATCTGGTGGCATTCCTCCAGGGTGTGGGCGCAGCCCACATCAAAGGGTGGAGAAACACACTGTCTGCAGGGACTGCAGAGCCACCTGGAAAAAGACACAGGTGCAGGCCAGGGCAAAGATGGGGTCAAGAATCTAACCCACCACAGTACCGAAGGTGACCTCTGGATCATTGAACCTTTTTGGTGGGTGGATGGCACCAAGTCTTGGGGCTGTCCCACCCTTCCGCTTCCCTTCCCCATCTGGAAGTAATGCCTCGGGTCTGACTGCGAGCCTGGCGGGAAGGGGGTCTCATGTCCTGCGCTCAGGATAAGGAGGCTGCTTGGCCTCCAAGCTTGGTTTCCTGTCTGCTTAGCTGTCTTCCAAGGCTGCTGCGTCACTTTCAGTTCCCTATAAATTCCCAGCAGGCCTTTCAAGGCGGTGCTATTTGTAATCCTTCAACAGGTGACGATGTGTCTCTATTTTAATTCTCAGTGTGATGAGTGTGAAAAGACAAAGGAACGTGTGTTTTTTAAATGAGTAATGGAAATGAGTTTGCCTCTGAGGAATATCACAATCATTAACCTCAGGGGGGATTTTAGGAGCTTCTCAAGTACAGTCCAATTTTGAAAGACTCCATTTTGGAAAAAAATAAATAAAATAGAATGCCCTGTGCTAAAGAGAACTTTACTATATTTTTCCCTTATTAGAATTAAATTGATATCATAGCTACCATTTTATTTTTAAAAAGACAGAGGGAAAAAAAGAGGTCTGCCAGGCATTCTTTTGTTTTCAAAGATGAAAGTGAAGGAAAGCAAGCAGGTTCCTTCTAGGAAAGAGGAAGGAGAATTAGTGAAGGGCTCTCTGTGAGGTGAGGTGGCAAAGGAAGGAGGTGAAGAGAGCAAGCCACAATGTGAAGCAGAGACTGGCAAATATTCTAAATTCCCGAAAGGAGGCATGGGGTACCATGGTCAGTGATCCCAGAGCACAGGTGATCTGCCCCCCTTCCCTTTCCTTGCTCTTCAAATGTAACCTCCTGTCTCCACACGTATTACCTACAGATTCGCTTCCTTCAATCCCCATCTCATCTCCATATCCCAAATTCCAGGGAAAGGCCACCTGCAGCTATCTCCTGAGAGTGACATTTCAGAAAATCTGTT